GTGCTGAACTAGCCTTATTTTTCCAAGGGTCCTGACACGACATAGATTCCGAAATACCTTCAGTTCTTCATCATAGGCACTTGCTAACCATTAGGTTGGCCCATGGAGTGGTCAACGAAAAACGGTAATCCTTTGCAACGCACCACTGACCGCTAGGCAATGGCCGCCACATTGCTATTAATACGTACACAACGTCCGTTCATTTGGTAGGGGCCAAAAGAACATGAACTCGTCCATCGTTTAAACACGGCCAGCGCCGATTTTTTTTTCCAGCGATAAAAGATAAGTTTTCAGCAATTAAACTTGTGGGGTCCAGAACATCACAAAATTATAGTAGAGGTTTTGCTTTATCCATCTAAAAGTCTAAAATTGCTATACTTTTACTATACTTCGCCTTTCAACACATTGCATTCGAAATTTGGACGGATTTCGACACATGTTTTGAAGTCGACCATTTTTTATTTACTATTTATTTTTATTTTATTTGACCCATCTTCACGGTTACTATGCGGATCCCAGCACTCCTCACATTCGATTCGTTTCCTCGCACCCACTATCCACAAAGATCTTCCAATTTTAGGTGTGGCTTCGGCCACTGGTTGACGATTTTCATTTCAGCTTGATTGTCCTAGAATGTTGGTCGAGCCAATTCTCCCTGGAGTCCTGGGTTAGCAGGGCTGGAGCGTTCCCAATTGGGTTACAGAGAGCGATTTTTACTACCGGACTAGTGCGGTAGCAATTTTCGGACCCCGGAGGGATGAGAGGCTTGGTTGGCGCGGAGTGGAATCGAGCTTGCATCATGTTCGTGATGACGGACATCACTAGTACTGTGCTGTCCGCCCCATGAAACCGACCATTCTATACGATAGTCATGACTCACCATAGTAATCGGGAGTGAAAAACAGTGGATTATTAGTCAAAGCTGAACTATGCTTGCACTGCGAAAGCAGTGTTTTTGCTAACCAGAGGATTTATGAAGTGTGTAGCTTGACGTGCTTGTGGAAGAGATTTGGTTCTACCAGTTTATGAAAAAGCAATAACCCTTTCTTCCAGTCGTTTTCACTCTACTACATTTAAAATTAAAATTTTCGCAAAGAACTCAATTTCTACTACGTCCCAATAATAGAATTTGTAATGATAAATTAAAAACTTGAAACTTTGAATTTGAAAAATAAAATGTGTATCTGGTCGGTAAAGATCTATAGATTCCAGTAGTTTTAACGGCAACCACAGTCATCGTTTTATGACTGTTGAGGAGAATTCTAGAAGATCGGGGTATATGAGTCGTCCACTTTTCTGTCAGGTTATTGTCATTCTATACTTGCTCCGTTGCTCTTTTCCTTTCGTTTTTCACACCCTTTCTCGCCTATTTCGATTATTATGTCGGTTGACGACGAGGTCGGCTTCGATCGGAGTGGATTTCTCATCCAGAGTAACAATGAAGAATTTGGAGATGATCACGGAGCCTCCTGTACTTTCTGTCGAAGAAACTGAAAAGAAACACGAATTAGAGAGAGAAGGCGGGCCTGCTGATAATGTCATTGGTGAGGGGTTAGGTGATGTAATGTCGCATAATCTCCTTCTCTTCAGTGAAAACTAGACTGTACAAACAGACAGTGAGTAGATTGGTGCGCAACACCAAGAGATCTTAATGGGTTATTTGCGCCGGATCTTGGCAAGCTGACCGTGAAAGATACGAAAAGGTATGTTCTACGGAGGATTGTGTCGTCGCGAAGCAAAAATGTTGATGAGGTCAGAAGATTCAGCCATCTCTGTCTCCCCCAAAGTGGAATTATTCAAGTGCAACATTTGAGAGATTATTGGAGTTCGCACTCTTTTTTTTTCGCATACAACATTACTGATATCCTTATTATGTCAAGCAGGAGATTTGAAGGTCTGTTAGCAAAACTCCTCTTTGCCCATAAGGAGTGACAGGCTAGGTAGTTTGTACAACACTAGATGATTAATCGGCCTTGTCCACAAGAAATTCAGCGCAGTGTACAAGCCCAGAAAGTATGTATGTATTAAAAATTCCATCGTGCTGTTCAGACGTAGATTTGTCTTCCTAAAGTCATTCTACACAAGACCTTGATAGAGGCCTTTTTGACGAGATCCCATGTTATTGAAAGCTGTTTGAAAAATAGTGGACAGTTGGTAGCTCAACAGAATCGGAGCGGCATAAATGGTTTTGAAATGGAAAAATAAGATGGACGTTGTTGTATGTTAGCATCTCACGACGCGACCGTTTCCTTCGACTCATCAAAACCGGAGATGTTTGAAAGCTGAAGCCAAAGGGAGCTTTTCGCGGGCACAACTGATCAGATGGCAGCATAGTATCGTCCTCTGTTCATTGTTTAGACACATCTTTTTCATGCATGCTTCGGTTTCGTACAGCGCTTCTTCCATCTGGTCATTCAAGCATGTCGTGAACGCTTGGTTGATGTACAATAATTGCGAAAAATCAACATAAATGACGTCATGATTGCCGTTGACATGTGTTATCCTGGGTACCAGAGTCATTCCACACTGTCGACGAGTCTCATGGAAATGGTACTGGAGGTTCAAGGAAATGTAAACGATATATGGGGTACTGTAAAGCTATTATGGAACCCAACAATTATAAATATGTTGCTGAACATGCAAGTTAGCACTAGATACATCCGTTGTAAAAGGCGGTATTTTTTATAATGTTTCAGTCCACACCATACAATTTGTGCATTGCCAGTACGATCTTCTATGTGAAGACTATTTATTGTAGGCAAGAATTGCAGGGTTATTGTGGAGGTAGCTGTTGCTTTCAGGTGCATATAAGTGATCCCTAAATAGCGTTCGCCGGTTTTGCATTTGGGAAGAATTGCAAATCTTTAGCGTTATTATCGTCATCTTCATTAGTTATTACTTTTGTTAATTTTATATTTTCTTATTTTTCTTTTATTTGACGTGTCTTCATGTCTACTCTACCGATCCCAACACTTCTCACACTCGATTCGTTTCCTCGCATCCATTGTTCACGAAGATCGCCCAGCTTTTTACGTGTGGCTTCGGTTGCTGCTTGAGAAATTTCATTTCATCTTGAACGTTGTAGAATGCTGGTCTATAATGGATTGCAAAGAGTGATTTTTTTTCCAAATATGTCCGGTATCAATTTTCAGACCCCGGAGGCATGAGAGACTCCGTTGACCCGGAGCGGAATCGAACTAGCACCATGCTCGTAATGACGGACATCACTACCACTGTGCTGTTCGCTCGCTGTTAATTTAATGTATACACACTGTGTATGTGTATGTATAAGTTTGGAAATGTGCGATGTAAAATAAATGTAGGATAAAAAGATGGCTTGATGACCGTTTCGAAAAGGAAGCTCTTGTGAAGCACACTAATCGAGGCGTGTGAGCATGGGGTCTGAAAAATCCTCAACGGAAGAAATGCAACGTCCTCTAAAAGTGGTTTTTTTGTAAATAATTTATTGTAGAGAATACAGCTTTTTATGAGCTATGCCTGTTACTACATCTCTGTTTCACAAACCATGAGTAGAATACAAAAAGTCAATGAACAGAAGTGTACCCATTTCGGCATACATATGTTAAACAGGGCCACAGCTGCTGGCGGTATAATAAACACGGCAGTTATAAGGATTCAATTAACGAAAGCCAACAGTACCCAGCAAGCTGAATTTTGGTAGCTAAGATTTTTTTTTAGAATCCCCTATAACTGAGACCTAGAAGTACTCCCAGGCGCAGGTTCGAAGTCCAGTTGAGGTTTCAGGTTTTGCTCGAGATATACAGTGAGGACGAGCCGTTCGTGTATTAAGTATCAAGATACCTAAGAGAATATCTACTTAGAAGCGTAACGCTAATCACCGTGGTATTGGTAATGGTGCGGTAAGAGTAGGAGCTGGTTCGAAGACCAACTTTCGAGTTTTGCTCGAGGTTTCCTAGCACCGTTCACGTAGTACCCTACCATGCAAAAGAGCAGACAGTAAATAAAAGTTAAAACTCACCTGCTTATTTACTTACACCCTCTTCCAATGTCTTACATACATACTGCTGCCAGCGCACCTATCAGTTTCGTTGAATTACGGCCGTTTTCTATGAAGTTGGTAGAGTTAACGTCATTTTATTTGCTACCTCTTAATAATCTGTCGTATTCTCTTTTTTCTGATATGCTCTATGCTGGGGGAGCGTAGTTTTTCTTGAGATCCTAGTATAGCCTTGCTGTTCTTGGACATTCTGAGGTTTCTCAGCACAGAAGCTCGTTTATCTTTCTAAATCGAACTGAGATTGACCGTCTTCACAATAGGGTTCTTGCAGCATGGAGACGGTCTCCACTGTTCATTTCTTCTCCAGTCTCATGTCAGTTATTTTAAAAATATGTGTAGAACAGTGAAAACTAACACAAGGAGGAATCCAGAGGGAAACCATTGACGGGATGGGTTATTAGATTTTTTTGCTATCAAGAAAAGCTTTGATGTGAAAGGGAACGATATTTTTTATTTTAGAAAGAGAAAGGAGTATGTGTTGAACCACCTCTAACAGGAATAGAGTTTGTTCAAGTGACTAAGGTGATTTCCTTCATTCGTTTGTTCTTCCCCGTTTTCTTTCCTACCGTAATTTCCAACTTTTCTTTCAGTCAACTTTCGAGAACTGTGGATCTCATTTTCCCCCTTGGATCCTCTGCGTTGTCCTTCTTGCGGTCATCGTTCTTCAAGTGAATTCTTCTCAAATCGTTTGCAATGTGAAGTGGGAGGAAATGAACTTATAATTTTTCTTTCGATTTAAAAATGCCTAAATCCTCCTACCTTGCTTCTAGTAAAGTTTTTGTAGTTATTTAGTAAGACTGCAATATGTTCCGAACATTAAAGCTTGTCTTTCGGAAGGAATTAGGTTAATTTTGGGGAACAAATCCCAGAAGCTTTTGAGGATTTCTTTCGTAACAAGAAAACACCTAGGAAAAGTGCTAGAACTCGCCAAAAAAATTCGCTCAGTATTTTTAGATCTTCCATGTGCACTGTTCAGGTCGGGTACATTGCTAAGCTAAGAATTTCTGATCCCAAACATCAGAAAATCAGTGAATTTGATGAGATGGTCAGTCCTCCAGCCGTCGTAACGCATCCGCTCGTCGACATGCGTCATTTTGACAACAATGTGAGAAGTGGACGTCAGAGTGTAGACGAGCTGTCCTCTGTTCATATGGCAAATGGGATCACCTGATTTCAATGAAGACTGCCTATGTCGACAAGTCACATTTGTACCTAGTCGATGACCATATAGCTAACAAGTTGTATAAAATTGTTGAGGACTAGCTTACTTATTTCGCTGTATTTATTCGATCAATTTCATCTACTCTTACACTGCCCGACGTGACGGAAATGCATGAACTAAGATACGCGACCTGGCCGTAGTTTTACAGTGATTACGGAAACTCAGTACATATAGCACAGTAAACTCAATACTTTTCAGCTTCCTGGGTTTTTTTCCACTGTAAGCGCATTGCTTTTCACGGGTTATTTTGTGCCGTTTTATGTCTGATCTCATACCTCTTCTGGAGAATAAATCTTTCAACGAACCACTTGTTGATTGTTACGTGGCAGAAAAACCTTGAACTAATCACTGCTAAATGCACGAAAAGTGTAATTTCTCACGTTTTGCCTATATCCTGTACCCCGAACGTCACACAGAGAAGACTGTTACCAACGAACAGCAGTGTGGTGAATCCAGCGGTATCATCAAGAACTCGATCTCTCACGTGAACATTTGCTTCTTCCGACTATTTTCCGTATTTTCCCTCTAACCGTTCTCCTGAACAGTTGTTTGCTTCTATTAGTGCTTCAATAAAAGACAGAAAATTCTCTAGTGCAATGAGTGGTCTATCTGAATCGTGGCGAACGCTCTTCGCTGTTTTTTCGTTTTTTATGAATTGTGTGCGCAGTCTGATTGTTCAGCAGAAGATTTAAGCTTTTGTTTAAGCTTTTGTACCATTCTGGTGAGCTTATATAGCGCAGTGGTTAGAAGTGCCTTACAGTACATGGGGAGGCTTTGGTTTAATACAACGTCTTGAGCAAACCAAGTCGTCCATCTTTCGAGTCTTGAAAAATTCTCTTGTGTCGCCTAGAAGGACAAAACCGACAGGGCACATCAGTAGGCCTCCATAAGCTGTCGTATAGGACAAATAAAAAAAACTAGATGAAATAACTCCTGCCTTCAATGACGCTACTGCATATGTTAATACGCTAGGCTACATCTCATTAATCATGTACTCACCCTTTACGAGCAGGTATATACCAGTAAATACTGTATTTGTCACCGTCGATTTACCGTCAGAGCACGGAGAGCGGCACACGTTTTTGGGTGGCCCTTTTTTCTTTTCTTGTTGCTATGATGCCTGAGGTTTACCACCGCGGCCTAGTTCCCTCACATATGCCAAAGTTATGAGTACGTCAATGTAATAGACTGACGACAATGAAGCAATATTCAGAAAAAGAATCTTGAAATGGAAATAAAGCAGAAAACATGGAAAATTAACTTGCGGAAACTTTTAATTGGGGGAAGCATTGTGGCGGAGATCCATCCAGCGAACTATCATAATCAGCTTTTCGCTAAACTTGCCGACTCCGGAGGAATGGAAGGCTTGGTGGGTTATGGAGGCGAGGATCGATTCCACGTGTGTGTCGCAGTGGCGCCTTCAACCACTGCACCAGATGCGCCCTAACTACGGATATAAGAAAGAATTTTAACGAGAGACAAGCGAAACGAAGGACCTGCATGGTGTGGTGGTGAACGCGTTACTTCCCGGAAAGGACAATAGCGCGTTCGTTCTCCACTTTAGACTCCTGTGGTCTAGAGTTTTGCAAATATCTCAGCGACATTGTGAAAGAATTTTAGTTTTAGGTCCTTTCGATATAAGAGCAAATTATCGCGGTACACTTCATCGTGGCTGGGAGGTGTTTCTTCTGGGTGTAGGACTGCGACGTACAGCGGAGGGATTCATCTGGCAGAGCCTTCCAAGCTGAGAAGGAGTCCAGCGTTTCCATCAGGAAGCCTAACTAGGAGTAAACCAATGCAAGGATCCACCACCGCCTTGGTATCAAAGTGACATGGTGGTAAATCTCCCTCTGATCTACAAGGGCTGCGACTGCCTGTCGTGGTGACGACCTGGGGCATATTTTGGCTATGCACTCCTTGGGATTCCAGGAAACCACAATGGCTTAACTAGCAAATCTCCGCAAAAATGGATGTTATGATGGGGTTCGCACAACCAGTGAGGTCGGGCCATTCAAGTATCAAGTATCAAGTAATCGTGGTACGGATTTTTTCGTTGTCAATGACCGTTGTCTGATGTCGCACGTCACAAGACTGTGTTTGATGTTCTGTACATGTAGGCCAACTTGCTGATTGTTACAATGGACTTTATTGTCGAAATTTCCTTGCTACTTAATTAACAACCCATCGTTGAGGAGTGGAAGAGCATTCACTCAGTGTTTTAGTAAAATTAGGGATTAACTAGTTCAAACCTTTAAATGAGCTTAAAAATAGTTGTAAACTGTCATACTTGAAAAATGAAAGTTAGTTTTGCCTTGAAAATGCCTTAAAATGACTCATGCCATAAAGAAGAGTAGTTCATAAAATTTCTTTGGATTTTGCGGCTTTCACGAGGTTGTCATACAGTTTTTATTCGGCTAACGCTTCGGTGTCTTCGTCTTTTTCAGGAGCCGTGCTCAAAGCCGATTTCCACAGTTGTTAGTCTTCTCGATGTGGTGTCTTTATCGTCATATCGAGTCGAATCTTCTTCAGTGGAGCACCTCTCAGATGAGGCAACCACATCAGACAGCGCTATTTTACGCAGCACGCTTGCTGACTATTTGTCGACTGGAAGTGATTTGTTTTCATGTCGCCAATCCACCTTGCAACAGTCGATAGTGGAATAGCTAGCAAAAAGTGTAGTAGTACTTCAATTACATTCTCTTAACCTGGAAGTGAATAATGAGCAAAAATCTTCGGTTTGTCTAGCTTAGACGAGGTTGGTATAAAATTTTGTGTAGTATTTTGTTCAGAGAGAGCCTATGTCGTAATGCACTCTCCGAATCTAAATGTGCGACTTTCGACTTCTCCGTTGAACGTTGTCTCTGTTACGACATTACTTTCGTTGTTTTAGTGATAATTCCTTTATAATGTGGTCATTTTTGTATCATATCTCATTAAGCAGCACAGAAACGTGATGTGAGGCAGCTTCCGACAAGTCTCATTCTAAAAGAGTAGTGTGATCTGGAGGGTTATTTTGCCCTAAAAGCTCTGTCCGGACACGGGACTGTTCCGAACTTTTCCATTTCCGTGTGTTTGGCATCACGATGTTAACGCAGCGCTGTGAGAGAGCCAGATGTTTGGCAGGGTGTCAGGAACTTCGATTTTTCACTAGTAGAATTCTTGGACAAGTTTTTTGTTATAAAGGAAATTCGAACCGACTGTGAAACGACTTCTCCACGTCTTAAAAGCTCTCAATGATCTCCAAGTGAGAATCGGATTATTTTCTTTCTAAGATGACAGGATATTTCTGATTTATGAAAATAGTCATGAGTTAATAGGAGCCTTCTTTATGTGAGGAACTGAGAGCCGATTAGTCGCCAGGCTACGTGCGCTTCTCCAAGAGCCCATCAAAGGCTGGACAAAGCCACCGCTTAATTGTTCTTAGTTGCTTCTTCACTAAGTAGTGGGATTCACTTTTTCTGTGCAGCATTAGATTTATTAATATATTATCTTTTCATTTATTTTCTGGAATCTCATCCATGTTTCCGCCTTTGGTTTCCTGGTTGCTTACAGTTATTTGGTAATGAGGACAATCCCTGAAAGATGGAAAGCAGTATGCAGTGACACAACAGCAATATTTCAAACGAAGTATTTAGAACTTTGTTACTTGCAAAACTCCGGGCCGCAGGTGCTTGCAGTGGGGAAAGAACGCGCTATCTATTACCCTTTCCGGGGGCTGACACGTTCACCACCACTCCGTGCCGCTGCTTCGTAAAAGTTAACATTGCTTAGAACTTTGTTCTCCTTGGATGCAATTAGATCGATGCAGTTGTCTGTATTTATGTGAAATGATCTTAACTTAAAAGCCGTTATCCATTAGTGTTTTTCTCCGTATTCATCGACTGAGCTTCTAAGAATTTCATCGAAAACCACAAATATTTTCGTTAAAGATGGATTTAGAAGCGATTCATTCACCACTGAACGTGATGGGTGACGTCCGAAGCGCGGCGCGATGCAACCTTTTGTTGAGTGATCGCGGCACTCACCTCGCACAAGAAAACTACAATGTAACTAACCCCATCATTCTGGCGTCATGATTCAGGAGACTTTCACAGATGGAATTTGTTATATTGCTGCATGTGCAATACATCATTTCAATGATGGAACGGTTTCTTTCGCGTGTTATTTTATCCGAACTGCAGGTTCTGAAAGGTCAACAATTCTTCTGGTTCATCAAAAGCTTCGAAGCAACGTACGTGCGCAGAATATAGGTGGAAACTTTTTAGAACATGGAGTACCAACTATGTCGAAAATTTTTTCACATCGAAATCGGTGTTGCTCCACTTTTTGTCAGTTTACTTTTCTGTCCCAGTATTACGCATTCTATAAAATTCCTAATTGAATTTAGATCTCTTGACTTCTCATATAAAGAATCTTTTCCACTCGTGGTGAGAATGGAAATTTAGTTTTTACGGAACTACTTGGTGACATCTGCAATTCCAACGATTGCTGACGTCGAGCAAACTCGTGCATTGTTTCTACAACGTTTCCCTGGTTTAGAGTTGAAGAAGTACGGCGTAGTAGATTCCTTATCCGTTTTCTACCTTCCTTCTATAAGCTTTCTAAAGTCAGGAGCAACAATCTAGAGTAGATAATAATGTGGTGCACATAGGAATTCTATTCAGTTCAAACGATGTGCCTCCGTAACTATGCAACAATTCTATGCTCCACCCGCCAACCACCAGAATTTCGGAATCCTGGATTTTCGGTTGCTTCATGTTTTCCTTCCTGTCCAACACAGTGGGTTATAACAAGTGTCATTCACTGCTGATACAATTTCACTGTTCAACTTCCTTCTCATACCGTGTCGTTTTTATTCCATTTCATTGAAAGAAGCAGGAATAAATCCGAAGAGTGAGAGAATTAGTGTCTAAATTCAACACGACTATGTCATGAGGACCTCCAGTACC